AAAATACAACTAAATACTAGTTACAAAACATTAACTTCAACTTCAACTTGATGTACTGAAGTATTTTATTATTAAAGCTATGAAGATATTTAAAATGTTTATTTATTTAAAATAAATCAATTTATTAAAAAAAATGTTTATAAATTAAAATTATTTTTTTTTTTATTTTTTTTTTTTAAAACTAGAGATAGAAATGGCCGAACATGCGCACGCAAAAAAATGTATATAGAAATTCCATCTACTATGAAAATGTCAAATATATTTATAAAATTACAAGAACATTTGTAATAATAATAATAATTCGTTACATTTATATAGTGCTTTTCTGGGCACTCAAAGCGCTTTACACAATGGGGGGGGGATCTCCTCATCCACCACCAGTGTGCAGCATCCACCTGGATGACGCGACGGCAGCCATTTTGCGCCAGACCGCACACCACACACCAGCTGATTGGTGGAGAGGAGACAGAGTGATGATATGCCAATCATGATATGGGGAGGGTTAGGAGGCCATGATGGACCGAGGCCAGTGGGCAGATCTTGTAATCTTGTTTTACTTGAATTGAATTTACTGCAATAACAAAACTAGAGATAAAAATGGCTAAACAAATATTAAACTATGTAGACATTTAAAAAAAAATGTATTAAAGTGACAAAAACACACAAGAAAATTTGTAGTTTGGTTTTAAATTGAATTGAGCTTACTAAAACAACAAAATTAGTGATGAAAATAACTAAAAAAAAATGTATCACAAATTAATAAAAACAAAAAGAAATGCCAAAAATTTATTGCAAAAACATACAAGAAAATTAGTTTTTTTTTTTTTTAACTTGAATAACAATTACTACATTTACAAAACTAGAGATACAAAAACACCCTAAAAATGAAAGTTTGAACTAAAATTTAAAACCGAAAATATGAAAAAAATAAAAACTAATTCACTCTATTACTAAAATGCACTGGTCTTGAAGGGGTTTTGCATGTCTCCTGTTTGTCTTTGCAGTGTGTGTTTGTGTGTGCGTGTATGCGTCCGCGCGTGTGTGATCAGTGGAGCAGCTGTCCAGTGTTCGGCCTGTTTGTCTGATGAAGCCGCGTGTCTGATATACTTTACTCTCAATATAAAGATGGTGTGCTTCAGAGACGTGGACAGAAACACAACGAGACGAGACGCTGCTTGTACTGTAGCTGTGTTTTCAGGATGATGAAAAGAAAGGACAAACATCTGAAGAGCACAGCAGATGTCACATATTGATGAAACGCTTCCTTTCAGTACATCTGCTAATGTGTACGTGCCTGTGTGTTTAACATTTAGAAATGTCTACATGTTTATTAATGAAGACAGTAATTCACTACTAATCATCAGTGATTCATAATGTTGTTATTATATTATTAACATTGAATATTTATGAATGACTAGATGTTTATTTATAAAGACAGTAATTCACTATTAATCATTGATTTATATTATTATTATTATTACTATTATTATTATTATTATTATTATTAGTATTATTATTGTTATTATTAAATATTTATGAATGTCTAGATGTTTATTTATAAAGACAGTAATTCACTATTAATCATTGGCGATTTATATTATTATTATTACTATTAAATATTTGTGAATGTTTATTATTATTATTATTATTATTATATATTACTATTATTATTATAATTATTATGATTTATATTATTATTATTGTTAAATATTTGTGAATGTCTAAATGTTTATTTATAAAGACAGTAATTCATTAATAATGATCAGCGATTCATATTATTATAACTATTTTATTTTATTATTATAAATATTATTATTATTATTATTAGAATTAGTATTATTATTGTTATTATTTAATATTTATGATTGTCTAGATGTTTATTTATAAAGACAGTAATTCATTATTAATGATCAGTAATTCATATTATTATTATTTTATACTTTTATTGATATTATTATTATTAATATTAGTATTATTATTGTTATTATTAATCATTTATGAATGTCTAGATGTTTATTTATAAAGACAATATTTTTTTTATTTATCATCGCTGATTCATAATATTGTTATTATATTATTAGTAAATATTTGTGAATGTCTAGATGTTTATTGATAAAGACAGTAATCAATATTAATCAACAGCTATTCGTAATATAATTATTTTATTATTAACAATATAATTTTTTTTAATGTTTAGAGGTTTATATATTAAGGCACAGTAACCCATTGCAAATAAGTAACTTATATATATATATATATATATATATATATATATATATATTTTTTTTTTTTTTATTAATATTAAACATGTATGAATGTGTTGAGGTTTATGTTGTCTTTAAGCAGTTTATTTATAAATATGGTAACTCCTTGTTACGTAGTGGATATTCATGATCCTATAGTTTTTTTTATAATTATGATAATAATAATAATAACTTATTTAGCATCAGGCTTAGACCCAGACACAAACAGAATAGTTATTATTTTACATTAATTGTAT